AGCACCGACATCAACACCAATCCAGCGGCATCATTCTTTCCCTTTCTCATTTTTCTCTCTACTCTCCACCCTCCTCTTTCCTCCTTCCTCATTTCCCTTTTCTTTCCCTTTTTTTTTCTTTTTCTTTTTCCTTTTCTTTTCTAGTTGGGGTTTAGAACCCATATTGGGATTGGGGTGAAGAAGATAAGAGAAAATGCTAAGAACAACACTCCCAGTTGCACCGTCTTCTTCTTCGACGCGTTGTCTTTCAGTTTGCAAACCTTCAATGCGGTCGTCGTCTCCGAACTTCTCTTCTGTTCTCATCAATGGCGATGATACCAGTGCCTCCAACAGTAACAATCCTTCTCGAAGACTCACTCTCCTTCAACTTGGCACCGGTGAGCAATTTTTTTGTGGCTTTATATACTTAAATCCTTTGATAGAAAAGTAGATTTTGTTTTTTACTTGAGGATTGCGATGGAAATTTGTGTTTGGTTGCTAAGGAACTGTGGAAACTAGAAAGGAAAACGAACTTATTAGTAGTATGCCCTAGGTTGGCTTAATTCCTCAATATTTTTGCTGCATTTTTGTTTGAAGTTGTGTGGAGCTGATGCAGCGAAAATGGAGTCGAATCGGCGCTTCTATCGACTGAGATCTTAGCCGATTTTAGCTTTTTTTGTCCTTTTGCAATGAGTATAGCAGCTTGCAAAGGAGTTATTCTCCTGATTTGGTTGAATCCCCAACTTATAAAACCAAACGATTCTAGAATTCATTTATGTAATTATTTTATGCGGATGCCGGATTTGGCTTTAAACGATTTATGCATATGTATTGTAGACAACTAGCTAAATTAAGCTTACCCTCATATCAAAAATAAATAAATAAATAAATATAAGATCACCCAGAAATGTATTTAGCTTCAGTTCAAAAAGAAAAAAAAGCTCACCCAGAAATGTGACTTGGCGGCATGGGATAGATTAGGAGAACTCCTAATTCTTCTAACCCTGGTGATCTTCACGATGGTGCTGCGGCGGATGTCTTCCTTTCACGGCCGGAATCACTTTCTCTATCCACGGAAGACGGAAACACGTAACTACCCCTAACAACACCTCTTTCACCCTTTAAGGCTATTTTCCTCCAGAACCCAAGAATCCCTCTGTCTCTCCGCTGCCCTTTCTTGCTAACAACCAGCGCTCCATAAGGAACCACCGCCTCCGGGCTGGAGTTACCGGTGGAACGAAAAGAACCGTAGCAATCGCCTCCCATTCTGAACGAATTAGACTGAAACCTCGATGACCGGCCAATGAACGGGCCTTCCAAGAGATCGGTGGCGGGCGAGGAGTGTTTGCCCATTCTGAGAGACTGAAACCTGGACGAACGACCGATGTACGGACCTTCCAAGACGGTGGTAGGCGAGGAATACAGTTTTGATTCCACCAGCAACCTCGGAGGCAGTTCAAGGCATTTCTGGGCAGAATCCTCCCGAATCGAGAATGTGGAAAGCGCGGTGCATGGCTTGGGCTTCCCCGGTTCCTCTTCCCAGTGAAATGGGACGGAGGCGGAAGGTAGGGTGGACGCCCCTGCTCTCTCCGGCATCTGCATTCGCACAAGGGTATGCGAAACTGAAAACAGGGGAAGCCTCAGTTCTGAAATTGAAATTACAAAATCATCATTTTTTTTCCACGTAATTTTTCTAAAATAAAAGTATTAATTCGTGGCAAGTTAACGGGCCAGCTGGGCACTTCTGTGACGGAAGGACCATTTGGGTTCTAAAAAAATAAAGTTTAAGGATGGTTTGGGTCCCTTCTGAAGTTAAAGGATGAACTAAGTTTCGAAATGAAAGTTTGGGGACCAAATTGGGTATTAAACCAAAAAAAAAAAAAAAAGCAATCTTTTTTTTTTTTAACCTTCTCTTATGAAATTCTCTTTCTACTCTACGGCTCTACCAGGAAAGTTCAATACTTTTTCGGGAAAACCTCTCTAAAACCCTAGTGCTGAACCTCAATTTCCATGCTCATTAGATGGAAACCCCTCCGTTTCCTTGGAAATTACGGAATTCTTTCTCCTCTTTCTTCCCTTATCTTCTCTAAACCCACGGTCTCCGCCGCCATGGTAGTAGACGAAGCACAATCCAGCCCCCCAATTTCTAGGGACCCTGTTCGCGAGATTCTTTTGGGATTGAAAAGTTCAGGCTTTCGCAGGTTTCTTGGTGGGGATTATTTTAGGAGTCTTGCTTTGACTTTGAATCAGGTTCAAGTTGATCTAATTGTCCATGATTTGAGGGTTGTGAACCCGGATTTCGCGGTCTTCTTCTTCGATTTTTTGAGGGATGAGTATGGATTCCGGCATTCGGCTGTTTCACGGTTTGTTGTCTCGCATGTCTTTGCAGACCAGAGGCGTTTCAAGGAGTTGCGTTTTGTTTTAGAGAAAATGCTGGAGGAAGAAGGTAATTTGCCTCTAGGTTATCTAATATCTTTCTTTTCGCTGAAATTTTTAGTTGGATTGAAAACAGAATTAGTTAGTAGTATGAATTGGTAAATTATTTATTTATTTGTTAAGGGTAAGGTTAGCTTCTTTGCTACTTAACAATAAATTAATTCAAGATTATTGCTCAAATAGCTTTATGTAAACAATTTTTTTCTCGTTTCCTAGAGATTTTAAATGTTGCTCATTTTTGTTGTTTATAGATTTCAGTTGATTTCTGATAGGCTCTGGTAAGGCTCCTTTGATATGTCAGCTCCTCCTGAATGGCTTTAAGGATTGGGACTCAAACGGTTTGGTGTGGGATATGTTGGCTTTTGCTTATTCGAGGTCTGAGATGGTTCATGATGCCCTTTTTGTTCTTGCAAAGATGAAGGACCTAAATTTGCGTCCTTCAGTACTAACCTACAACAGTCTTTTGTACAACTTGAGGCACACTGATATCATGTGGGATGTGTATAATGAAATCAGAGATAGTCGAACTCCTCAAAGTAGGCAAACTAATTCCATAATTATAGAAGGCCTTTGTGGGCAATCCAAACTGCAAGATGCAGTGTCATTCCTACAGGAGACTAAAGGAGAGGGACTTGGGCCTTCTATTGTTTCATTCAATTCCATCATGTCAAGATGCTGTGAATTAGGTTTTGCAAACACTGCAAAGTCATTTTTCTGCATGATGATTAAGCATGGTCTAGTTCCTGATGCATACAGTTATAATATTCTCATTCATGGACTCTGTGTAGCTGGTTCCATGGATGAAGCGCTGGAGTTCACTAATGATATGAAGAAGCATGGTTTGGAGCCTGATAGAGTAACCTTCAACATTCTTGCCAAGGGGTTCCACCTCCTTGGTTTGATGAATGGAGCTTGGAAGGTTATCCAAAGAATGTTAACCAAAGGGTTAGATCCAGATGTTGTTATGTACACAATACTGATATGTGGCTATTGCCAGACTGGGAATATTAATGAAGGATTGAAGTTGCGGGAGAAGATGCTTGCACATGGTTTTCAGTTGAGTCCCATCATATACAGTGTCCTGCTCAGCAGTTTGTGTAAAAGGGGGCGGATGGATGAAGCTTTGTTCCTGTTTTCTGAATTAGAAGCTAATGGCTTGGAGCCAGATCTTGTAACCTACTCTGTCCTAATTCATGGTCTTTGCAAACAAGGAGAAATTCAAGAGGCTCTCGAGCTATATAGGGAAATGTACGCAATAGGAATTCTCCCAAACTCTTTTTCATATGGGGCTATCCTGTTGGGTTTATGTGAGAAAGGGATGCTAGCAGAAGCAAAAGCATATCTTGATTCTCTAACAATGGCGAACTTGACTCAGGATGTTGTATTGTACAATATCATGATTGATGGGTATGTAAAACATGGTTATGTTGAGGAGGCTGTACAGTTATATAAGTTAATAATTAGAAAAGGGATTACTCCAAGCATTGTCACATTCAATTCTCTTATTCATGGATTCTGTAAAAGAAGAAACTTTGGAGAGGCTGAAAGCTTGTTGGATACTATTAGGCAGCATGGTTTGAAACCAAGTGCAGTGAGTTACACCACTCTAATGGATGCATATTGTGAAGAGGGAAATATGACCAATGTGCTCAAATTGTTTGAAAAACTGAAGGCCAGTGGTGTCAGTCCAACGCATGTCACATATACTGTAATTATCAAAGGTCTTTGCAAACACTGGAAACTGCATGAGGCTGATCAAATGCTTAAGTATATGTATTCTAGGGGTCTAAACCCTGATCAAATCACATATAATACAATCATCCATTGTTTCTGCAAAGCTCGAAATGTGACAAAAGCATTAGAGTTATTCAATGAAATGATGCTGCATAAGCTGGAGCCCACACCTGTTACATATAATGTCATTATAAATGGTCTTTGTGTATATGGTGACCTAAAGGATGCTGAGCAGCTTATGGTTTCTCTTCAAGAACAAAATATCAATTTGACAAAAGTTGCATACACCACATTAATCAAAGCACAGTGTGTGAAGGGTGAAGCTCACACTGCCATCAACTTATTCTGTCAAATGGTAGAGAAGGGGTTTGAAATTTCAATAAGAGACTATAGTGCTATTATCAATAGATTGTGCAAAAGGTGTTTGATAACTGAGGCACTTTTTTTCTTCCGTTTGATGTTATCTCAAGGGATTTCCCCAGATCAAGAAATATTTGAAGCTGTGATCGGTGCTGCTTCCTGTCAGGGCAGTGATGTCAATTTGGTTCATGAGCTGCTTGCATGGATGACCAAATCTGGGTTGCTTCTGGATAAATTTATTAGAAAATAGTGATTTTCAAGCATTTTGTCTTTGGGAAGAGCTGTCCAATTATTGATGCCAAGCATTGCCTCAGGTATTGAAAATTGAACAACAAATGCTCATCTCTAAGATTTTACTTTTGTTAAGTTGGTTCTCTTTCGGCTAGTGATTGACATATTTTTTTATTTAGTTGGTATTATTATATCATTTTCAACTGCTATGATGTAATTGTTAGAGAGCCTATTAGGATGCCATCAAGAAGGTGTTTTGACTGGTGGTGCTCAAAAGAGTATATATAGCTCCATCTGTGAAGAAACTCCCATTTACATGATGTAGTTGATCCCTTCAAATAGTTACGTGTCTATTTTAGTGCCCTCATGTATGTGTAGGTTTCTTAATGATGCTCTTTCTGGTTTCCCACAGGTTCCTTAAGGCTGATTGTTTTGTGTCACGGGTGCTGAAATGACACTGCACAAAGTTTGCTGCTCTGCAATCAACCCACTAGGCTGTCGGGATTATATCCGACTAGGTAGTTTTCCTTGATTACATAAACGATACTGCACATTAAACTTATGAAGCTGTCCTTACTTTTTCACTTTGATCAGGTACTTTCCTTGGCAGCAGTTTTTGCTTCACAACTTATCAATTCTATATTGCAACCATGCTGTGGCTGCTCTTCTGCTGATTCCAAATTTGATTGAAATGAATTTGCAACCTCTACCTCTTCAGCATGCTGTGAATCAAAGCTGTTCTAATCGTATGACATAACAGAAACCATTGCTTCTTGTACCAGTACCATAGATGTGAAATATGGTTGCAGAGAAATTGATGCTGCCAAATCATGCTGAAGCATACGATTTTTTTTTTTTTTTGGTATTAACTCTCGGTATCTGATAATCGCATTGGGTCTTGACTAATTCAGAATTGAGTCGCGTCAGACTTCATTAGAGGGAAGCTCTCTTAGTGACTGGTTTTTCATTCAGAAGATTCGAACTGAAGACCTTAAGTAAGTAAGAGGAATTTAACTCTTTTCACTTGAACCAATAGATTGTTGGTAAATCATATAATTTTCTGGTGCGATATGATTCATACTTTGAGACCAATACTAGAGATGGATTTTGGAAAGCGGAGGATATGATTCATACTTTGAGACCAATACTAGAGATGGATTTTGGAAAGCGGAGGATCTCTCTCATTGTAAATGCATACTCAAATGTCCAAAAAAATGAATGAATAAAATAAATAAAGGTGTCTACTTGGTTATGACTGCAATAAGCTTTGAGCCGATTGCCTATTTTCAAAAAAATAGAAAAAGGAGGTTGTAAGCTTGGAGCATAATCCAAGGCCAAAACTAAAATAGGAAATTATGTAAAAAATTTAATAAAAATAGGCTTCTTTATGGGCCGGGCTATTGCTTCGTCCAAAGCCCAAATTCTTTCGCTCCTGAAAATGCAATGGGGGAAAGTGTTGTGCGTGGTTCTACACGCCGAAAATTGGATGGGATGGGTACCTTGCAATTTATACCGCGTACTTAAATGCATGCATAACTTCTGGCAAAATAATTTCCTGCGTTGTACTTTTAAATATTTTTTTTTGGAAAGATTTATTTAAAAATT